GTGGGGCTACCTGGGGGCACCCGGGACTAGTGGGGGGCACACAGGGCTAGTGGGGGACACCTGGGGCTACCTGGGGGCACCCGGGACTAGTGGGGGGCACACAGGGCTAGTGGGGGACACCTGGGGCTACCTGGGGGCACCTGGGACTAGTGGGGACACACAGGATTAGTGGGGGATACGTGGAGCTATCTGGTGGGCACCAGGGACTAGTGGGGGACACTTGGGGATACCTGGGGACACCTGGGACTACTGGAAGCACACAGGACTAGTGCAGGACACCTGGAGCTACCTAGGGGCACCCGGGGCTACTGGGGGACACACAGGGTTGGTGGGAGGCACCTGGGGCTACCTGGAGGCACCCGGGAGTAGTGGGGCACACACAGGGCTAGTGGGGGACACCTGGAACTAGTGGGGACACCTGAGGCTACCTGGGGACACCCAGGACTATTGGAGGACATCAAGGCTACTTGGGGACATTCAGGGCTGGCTGGGAGTTACTGGAACTAGCTGGGAGGCACCCAGGGCTAGTGGGGGACACTTGGAGCTACCTGAGGCGCATCCAGGGCTATTGAGGGACACCCAGGACTGATCGTGCAGGGCCCTGGCTAGCTGGAGATCACTGAGGGCTAGCTGGTGGCTGCCTGGGTTAGGTGGAGGACACCACTGACTAGTTGGGGGACACCCAGGAATAATTGGGGTGTGCCTGGGGCTATCTGGAGGACACTGAGGTCTAACTGTGGGGTGCCTGGGACTAGCTGGGGGACTGGCAGGGCTAATGAGGGACAACAACGGTTAGCGGGGGGGGGGGCACCCAGAACTAGCGGGGGGCACCCAGAACTAGCTAGGGGATGCTCAGGGCCAGCTGCGGGGTGCCTGTGACTAGCTGGGGGGCATCCAGGGCTAGCGGGGGACACGTGGGCTGGCCGGGGGGGGCTCGCCGGGGACCCCCGCCGGTGTCGGCGGGGCGCTGCGCTGCTCCGCGCCCGGCAGGTGCCGGTGCCGC